CAGCAGGCCATGTGCTACAAATAAAATACAGTTTCCATTTTAATGAAATAAACAAATTTCTTTTCGAATACGTAATGCACGTTTTTTATACGTATGTATTTCGATTTATATTTATAAAACATATATTCGCGGCTACAAATTTGTTCGTCGCAGGGTTCCCAATTTCCCGTTGATCGCTGGAAGCATTTGTTCGATCCAATGATTTTTTTTACTGTGCTTTATTCATGATTTCATCAGCTTTCCGATCCCCGCTATGTTTCCGTTTCATGTAAAATTAACAAAATAATTATATTCGGCTTGTGACTGGACCAGATCAGCCGTTAATTAGTTTTTCTGATTAAGCGCGAACCCCAAACAAGCGGTCAACGTAACTTTTATTACGGCGTCGTCGAAAATTAGAAAGTTGGCAGGAAAAATTATTAAATTATTTGTAAAGCAGGTATTTTATGAGTTAGGCAGCGTGCAATTTAATTTGAGAACGAGATATTTCGTTTGCGCAGACCTTGTCAAACTTTTAATGAAATGTTGCTTGTGGATTACAACTAATTTTATTGACCCGCCTTTAGGCTAAAACAAAAATTTAAATATTCATCAAGGGCCGCTTCCTTTTCAAAATTAATAATTCCAAGAAAACTTTCACATCAAAATTCGCGTAATTAGAAACTTCTGCCCTCGAGAAATCCCCGCTATCAACATTATTATTGAATTAGCCGCACCATAGTGTCAGTTAATTGCCAATTTGTTTGAATATACGAACAGAACGAAAGAGAGGCGTTTTTTTTAATTAATATTCAATTCATATTCTTCCTTGGAGATTCAAATCACTTTTACCTGAACTGATATACAGGGTGATTCATTAATTGACACATAACGCCTAGATAAAATATGGCTCCTTACGGAGTTACAGTGTTTTATTTAAAAAATTTTAAATGATTTTTGCCCATTACTTTAACTCTATTTGATTTTTCTCTCTCATACTTGGCACAAAGTTTAGATACTGTAGAATATATGATAATAATAATAATAATAATATGACAAATAAATTACATAATAAAATAAAAATGATTGTGCAGCCCTATGTTTAACTTTAAAAAACTCGAGAAATAATGACTTTACCACTATGAAGGAATAGTAGGTTAATTGCATAAAAAGTACTCAAGAATTGAAAAATTGTACCAAAATAAAAATTCAGTCAGTGGCGTAGAATTTAGGAATGGGAAGCTGCCTCTCTACCCCTGTCGTACGCCTCTGGTAGTAGCCATAAGCGATTTTGTAGCATTTTTTCATAAGTTCTAAAGCATCTAAACTTTATGCCAGGTATGATACGGAAATATCAAACAGGGTTAAAGTTATGGGAAAAAGTCATTTAAATTTCTTTAAGTAAAACACTGTAACTCCGTAAGGTACCATATTTTATCTAAGCTTCATATTTCAGCCCAGGAGTATCCAGTTAGCGTATGTACAATTAATAATGAATCACCCTGTATAAATAGTACTTCTTACTTTATTATGAAAATATTTACAGAAATTGTATTTGCCTTTACAATATGTTTTCAGTCATGGAAATTTTTCGATTTATATGTTTACATAACTCAAAGAATCAATATCGTATCACGTATTACACGAATAGTTCGGTATTTGAAAACATAATCTAGTTTCTATTGACGAAGTAAGTTTGAAGGATAAATGTTATACAGGGTGATTCCTAGAGTCTGCATTATAACTTTAGGAGGTTCAGCAAACTGCATTTCTAAAACTCTGGTCGAAAATGGAGCAAGGAACAACATCTTGAAGTTATGGCTTATATTTGGAAAACGCCCTGTGTAAGAAAGGTTAACTATTCATAGAATTCGTATTAAGTTATTTTGTAGAGTAAATCATTTCAATCATATACGGTACATACGTATATTTTTTGCATAATACGTAAGGGTACTAATAGGTATTTTTTTCATGTAAAGAAGAGTCATTAGAAGTCATTTGGAATACCACGTTAATCTTGGAGCAAAGATAAAAGACACATGGTTTTTGGTGTATCTCAAACACCTTACGTTATTTACAATAAAGAAGGGATTATTTGAGTTATTTTAAAGCAAAAAAATCTTATAATATATGTTTTCTAGATACAGAATGTTATAGAATTTGAAAAACATCACCAATACGCAAATATTTCGAATGATAATATATACATATAGTTTAATGGCCATTCAAATATTCAGTCTTGTTTTGCCGATGAAAGGCCAATTTATGACAGAACAAGTTTCTGACGTCTAAAAATAAAACTAAAACATTTTTTTCTCCAAATATCTATACAAAATATATCACAATCCCATTCTGAAGTATGTAAAAATACAAAATTTCTGTAATGCAGAGCTTTGAACTTGGCTACATGGGAAAATTTTTAACTTAATTTTTCTTAGGTTGTTGTAGTCAAGGGAGGTATATAACATTATAAACCCTGCTTTTAGAAAACTTTGCAAATACAAAGCACTTTTCGGCATCCTAAAAATTTCGAAAATATGAAAGTAAGTTTTCCAGTATTATCAATAAAACAAATTCAAAATTATGGGGGTCATGCTCATTGACTAGATTAACTACATTAAGTTAGCAATTTAACTAAAAAAAGTGAAGATTCATTGAGATATATGCTTATCTCTGTCATTTTATTTGAAAAGTGAATTATTTTTAAGCTTTTTTGAATCTAAAATTATTTTATTACCCTGGTTTACCCGGATAATAACAATAAATCGAAAATAGTACTGTGCATTTCATAGAAAATATATATTTTTTGTCGAAAAAATTATTCTAAATACACTACAATCATTACGCATTAAAAAAAACATTTTCCACAGAATAACAATCAAAGGTACTTAAATTTTGACGCCACTGAATTTTCTTTTTATGAAAGTAAGATTAAAATTGCTTTTGTATAAAAAAAATATTTTTTTGTAAAATATTTCTAATCGTTTTTGAATTATTTAACCGTATGGTAAATTTATATTAGGTAGGCTCTGCTAGGTATTCGTTTACATAATTAGGCAAATTGTTATTTAGGTAAGTCGCCACTTCAAGTTTCATAAATCTACGCTAAACAACTTTCTAGATATGTGCGCAGACGAGATATATATTTTTCATAAACTTTAACACCCTGTATACCGAAAACTAAGTCGATCAGAACATATTATATTAAACCAGATCCTTTGTTATTGGTAAGTACTTAAGGATCATCGTATACGGAAGCAATTGGACTTCAAAAATACCTTATTTGGGTGAAAATAAACCGATTTATACCAAGTTATCTTAAATTTTGTTTCTTCAAAAAGTTACGGGACTTCAAAGAAATATTTCAATGAAATTTTTGAAGTCTGTTTTTTAACTAAAACACAGGGGTTGCTATGAATGTACTAAACAGTCTTTTGTTTTTATTTTTTTTTGAGATTTTGGGAAGTTGTAAATGTTTTGTAAAATCTCAATATCAATTTTTTACTAGTCATGTTACTAATAACCGAGTATTTGGGAGTTTTCTAATATAAGCAAACCTTACTCTTATTCTCAGTCAAAATGTAAACACCTATAACAATAGCTATACTAGGCAAAAAGTTGAGTTTAGATTAGAATCCCTCAAATACGTAGCTCGAGTAACTGATCACTGCCGTAAAAAATTGAAATCCATTTGTCTATACCTTTTGTAAAATGGAGTTTCAAAAATCATCCAAGTTTTCTCACAAGTTTTACCAAAAAAAACATGCCAAAGAACTGTTTAAGGTGATCTTATCGGCTCTATGTTTTAGGTACAAATATAATACAGGATGGCATAAAAGTATAGGAATCCCAAAAAATCTCGCGAGATATTCCGGAAAAACCAAATACGAGTATAGGGAAAGTTGGGATTTTTCCCTGGCTATTCAATGGTGACCATGCCATGACCACTGACCACTGACCACTGACCACTGACCGCGTGGTCATTATGGGTTAAGATTTTTTTAAATATGAAAAAGAGCGGAAAATTTTACGTTCAGATATGACCTTGATCATTTCAAAAATTTCAAAATGGCGGCGAAATCAAGATGGCGGACGAAATTTTTGTTAACCGATTATTATCAAATTTTGTATACGGAGGTTTTCGAGGTCGCTAATCACGAATCCGTGGTCAAATTTGTGAAATTCAAGATGGCGGACGAATTTTTTTGAAAATCAGTCGATTTGCATCAAAGATGGTATACGGCCGTTTTTTGGGGTTGCTGATCACGAATGGGGGGTCAGTGACCCCCAAAACCCACGTATATCAAATTTGGTCCCCATTGATTAATTTAAAAAACCTCATCCACCATCTTGGATCCGCCATCTTGAATTTTGAAAACCTGACCTCGGATTCGTGATCAGCGACCTCGAAAATCCCCGTATCCAAAATTTGGTAACAATCGGTTAACTTTAAAAAATTTCGTCCGCCATCTTGATTTCGCCGCCATTTTGAAATTTTTGGAATGGTCAAGGTCATATCTGAACGTAAAATTTTCCGCTCTTTCTATTTCCGGGGTCTGAAGGGGGGTTCCCATTTAAAAAATCGTCTTAACCCCATAATGACCACGTGGTCAGTGGTCAGTGGTCATGGCATGGTCATCATTGAATAGCCAGGGAAAAATACTAACTTTCCCTATATTTGGTTTTTCCGGAATATCTCGCGAGATTTTTTGGTGTTCCCATACTTTTATGCCACCCTACATATACCAATACAACTACCGCAAAAAGTTCCTCATATCAAATTTCGTTGAAAATAGAGAGTAAAAAACGAAAAAAAATACAATGAAGGATCCTAACTTTTCAAGAAAACAAAATTTTGGCAAGACAACTTGATTTAAATGGGTATATATCCACCTAAGGAATGCATGTGCTTCGGACACCCTGTATAGCACATAATAATTACGACAGCATTATTTCTATAGTTTGAAACAATACATTTGCAACTCAGGTTAATAATTACCTGTATATAGACATGATCTAACCTGCATAAGCCTCAGAGGATACGGTGCTGGAAACTCCTCGTCGATCTCCCTAGTATACACGGAACAATTGAACCTCGGCGGCAGGTCGTTCACGTCCCTCACGTAGATTACTATAGTGGTGTGATTCTCATTCAAGCTGTCTGATGCTACCAGGGTTAGCTCGTACTAAACATGCGTCAAACAACACACAACAACTTAAAAACTGCGCGAAAACAAGAACTGAACAAAAATCATAAATACATTAAGCCGTAAATAATGGTGCTGGGGCCGAAATATGTCCAATGAGGCCGGGGCTGGGTTTGAGCGCGGAAAGATACAAATTTGTGGCCGGGGACATCCTTGCCCCCGGCGTTATTTATTTTGCAGGAACTTGTTTTTTGTTTTGTTTTTTATGCTGTACTGTCTCCCTAACAGAACCCGTAGGAACGGAAATATCATTCTGGAATTTGCAGGAAAATGAGGCGGCTCGGCAGATGAATGTTGCATATGCGTTGCCATTGTGGCAGTGAATCTTTTATAAAGTGTGTTTTATTTAGAAGAGAATATTAATACCTAGTCCAGGCGGTATCTGTTTTAAAAAGGGTATACTTGGGTAAAACGCATATTATCGGAGATTTTTGCTTTAACGGCTTCTAAATAACATCAGAAATGATAATTTTTCTATGCAAATAAAAAAAAACGTGGGCTTAACTGTTATTGCAAAAAACTATAAAAAAATAGCAAACATTTTATTTTTTTCTTGGATTTCTCGTCGACAACTTAGCAACTATTAGTTTTAGACAAACATGGAAGAGGAAAAAAGTTTTGTAATTAAATTTTGGTCAAGATAGTTAGTTGCAATTCGAAAAAATAATTATTGTTATTGCAAAAATTGGAAAAATCATTTAAAAAATTGCAAAAAATGCTAGTTTATCTGTAAATTTTTTTCAGACAGTTGAGTAACTCCTAGGATCTTCATCACATCAAATTTCATCCAATTCGGTTCGATAGTTTTTACATAATACCTAATTGTTTAATTTTTTTTAATTAAAACATTTTCAAAATCAAATTTCTAAAAATCTAAAGCCTTTGAGTACTTGAAAATTTCACCACAAAAAGCTCTCAAGCTTTAAATTGGTTTTTGAAAAATTCAAATCGGACGATTAGGTGAGCCGTGGTGATTGTTTAAACATTGTCGCAATTTTCACGCTTATAAAGAATTGCAATAATTTAATGTTTTTTTCTAATTTTTTTAATTTTAAAATATGGTTTGAAAGTACTCGGAGAGACGAGTATTTAAAAAAACCTGATGATCCGCCCATTATTTTCGGAGTTATAGCCCGTTAAAGTTAACCCTTATTTACAGCAAAACTATAAGGGCTGTTTTTTGAACCAATAGATATTCAAGACCGCGTGAAATAAATGAGGTATCAGTGGTGGGGGGAGCAAACACACAGCTACTCCGATCTGAATTCTCGAGTTCGAAACGGCGTCGCCGATGCTTGGAAAAATTTTACTTATCTCAGCTTCTAATGGACCAATTTCGATGATTTTTTTTAAATCGATGTCTCGCAACTTAAAAAATTCAATTATCATATTTTCAATTACCTTTTATTATTANTTTCGATGGATTTTTTTTAAATCGATGTCTCACAACTTAAAAAATTCAATTATCATATTTTCAACTACCTTTTATTATTAATTATTTGACTTTTGACATGCCGATAAAGTTACTTTAAAAAATGATTAATTTATTATGTTTATTTATTTACTATGTTAATATTCACGACCAACATTTTTGCATGTTGCACCAGGTAATACTAGTAAGTTTGTTTAAATATTATAAAATTGTTTAAACAATAATTATTTAAATAAACAACTGAAAATTGGTATTAATTTTTATTAATTAATTATTTAATTTCTAAAAATCTTTCAAAAAAAAATAAATTGTGAATAATTATAATTTTAATTTTTTTGTTTACTTTTAAAATATTTATCTAAAATTTATTTTTTATCTATATAAAAAAAGTATAAGAATCTTTTGGATACTTCAATAAACAGTACACACTATTCATGATTTTTCAAATTTTAAACTATTTATTTCAATTTTTATTTACATTTAAGATAATCTAATTCTTTTACTAGTTGGTGATTTTTCACATGCTTCATCAGTATTATCACAATCTATTTCGTCGTCGATTTCCTCGTCTTGCAACTGCAAAATATAATTTTCTAACGACTTTGAAATCTGATTTGTCGAGTTCACTTGCACTTTCTTCTGACATGTCTTATTCAAAATCGATTTCGAACTCACAAATTTGCCCTTGGCAATGGGTGCAATACTCTGAGCACTTTTGAACTCGAGAATTCAGATCGGAGTAGCTGTGTGTTTGCTCCCCCTACCACTGATATTTCATTGATTTCACGCGGTCTTGAATATCTTTGAGTGACATTTTAAATGGGACGCCCGTGATTGCAAATTTTGAAAATTTATATCTGGAAAGTAATCGGAATGACAAACCTATTAGTTCAAAAAACAGCAATTATACCCTTATAGTTTTGCTGTAAATAAGGGTTAACTTTAACGGGCTATAACTCCGAAAATGATGGGCGGATCATCAGGTTTTTTTTAAAATACTCGTCTTTCCGAGTACTTTCAAACCATATTTTAAAATTAAAAAAAAAATAGAAAAAACATTAAATTATTGCAATTGTTTAATTAAACAATCACCACGGCTCACCTAATCGTCCGATTTGAATTTTTTCAAAAACCATTTTAAAGCTTGAGAGCTCTTCTTTTTGTGGTGAAATTTTCAAGTATTCAAAGGCTTTAGATTTTTAGAAATTTGATTTTGAAAATTTTTTAATTTAAAAAAAATTGGATGAAATTTGGTGTGATGATTCTATGCACTATGAAGTTTAATTGGGAAAAGTATGAAGATCCTAGGTATTATTCAAGTGTCTGGAAAAAATTGACAAATAAACTAGCATTTTTTGCAATATTTTAAATAAATTTTCCGATTTTTGCAATAAAAATAATTATTTTTTCGAATTGCATCTAACTCTATTTTGACCAAAATTTAATTACAAAACCTTTTTTCCTTTTCCATTTTTGTCTAAAACGAATAGTTGCTAAGTTGTCGACGAGAAATCCAAGAAAGAAATAAATTTTTTTGCTATTTTTATATACTTTTTTGCAATAACAATTAAGCACACGTTTTTTTATTTGCATATAAAAATTATCATTTCTGATGTGATTTAGAAGCCGTTAAAGCAAAAATCTCCGATCATATGCGTTTTACCCCACCCGAAACAATACCACCTGGACTATAAAAGTTAGGTCAAAATTCGTGATTATCAAGATTGTGCAAGAAATTAAATTTTTCATGACAGTTCAGGATTCCTGTACCAAAACAGTCAGCAGAGTTCAAGTTACGAAAATATAATAGAAAGGCTATCGATTTGCACCTCACCAGAACTTATCGTATTTATTTATATCCGACTACCTTCTGAAATGTGAACCAAGAACAGCGTACATGTATTTATATTCCCATATAAATTGGATGGCCACGTAACTGTGACGCGGAAGAACAATAATTTCGTGGGAGAAGGCGTACATCGCAAAGCAGATATCATCTAACATCCATTAAAGCGCGTACCCAGTCCGGGCTTCATTCGACGCAAATTCGCCATGCAAATTATACTCCGAAGCTAGGTGCCTACTCCTGCGTGTGATTCTGTAAATTAAAACCAGCTACAACAACAACAAAAACAAGATAGATAACAATCATGCGAGACACTCGCCCTCAAAACGCTTTTTGGTAGATTCCTATCGTCTTCCTCCGTGATTTGCGTTCGGTATGTGGGCCTCTCGAAAACTGGGGGATTATCGTTTACGTCTTTCACGTGGATGACTACTGTGGTGTAGTTCTCCTTCAGGTTGTCAGATGCTGCTAAACGAAGCTCGTACTGCGAAGAAATAATACCAGTTTATAATAGTTGGCTGCACCACCCGACGAGAGTCTTTAATTGTTCCAGGAGACGGTGGTACATATAACAACCACATATTCCTGAGATAAAAACAATACAAGTCCACTTACTTTGGTCCAGAGATGCTTCATTCGAAAGTTAGAAGGTGTCATAGTCTTACCTTTGGAATAGTTTTTCATTAACGTCATAACCAAATTTGGCATGGCCTTATAAGGCATGGGAAACAGTAAAAGTAAATATCAAAAATTTTTTCTCTACACCTGTGGCATACGTGAGGATGATTGATCTCCTTTTTTGGAAATATTTTCTCTTCTTGTGGATCCCTTCAAGCAAGGACTGAATTTCTCAATTATTTATCGATTTCAATTTGCTTTTTCGAAAAAAATTTAAATCAAACTGAATATTTATCTAGGAAACCAACGATTTTAGCAACTATATTTATATAAACACTTTTTCCTTTGAAAAAAAGGCGAGTATGTCTACCAAATAGATGTTGATTAAGTTACTCGACAGAGTCAAATAAGAGTCTACAACAAGCACTAAAAAACTGGGACAAGCAAAAAGCAACATCAACCGGATCATTAAATGACATTTTAAGCCTATAATCTCAACTATGTAGTATAAGATTTATTGGTTGATTTCATAGCTGAGTACCTTTTTGCCCGTACCATTATAGGTGGTCATAACATCTTAATTTTGATAAGAAAATTCTTTCGACCGACGTTTTTTAATCCAAAAGGGATTCACCGATATTCGCAATGAAAAGTATATTCAGTATTAATTCAAAATTAATATATGAATAAGTATTAAATGAGTTTGATTGATCCTTACCACTAATATTAATTTGAATTTTGTTCAAAATTTGCAACCTCCTGGATAAATATACTTTATGCACAATGATCCTACTGCACTTCCAAAATATATAAATATGTTTTGGTAGACGACGAGTTGCATCTGCAGGGTGTCCGAAAATTTCACTGGCAACGTTTGACTACATATTCACGACGATAAATAAATACAATCTATGACAAAAAAGTTAAATAAAAACTTTTTGGTTTTTGAGTTACAGGCCTTCAAAGTTGTCAAAAATAAAGCTAATTCAATTAATAACTTCATAACCCTTTTGCCGATCGCGTTAAAATTTGGGACATTTATTTGAACCATTATGACATGATTTCTTGAAGTTTTAGTCAAAT